GGTTGTCACTAACATTTTCTGCTAATACTAAATGAGTTTATGTAATCTTTATAAGGATTTATATAATGATATCAACCATCATTACATTTGGATGTCTGTACGTGTATGTAGAGACACAGAGAAAAACAAAAGCAGATAAATAGCGAACATTTTTCTCCTTGTCACTGGTGTCTCCTAGGACCAATATATTAAATTCCCTTCAGGTTCTGCTATACATAAGTATATAAAAATTATCAGCAGCAATCTTGGGTACTTCCTGTAGTTGATCTGTCAACAAACCACCAAATGAAATCTTTTACGGAGAGATTCCTTCACATCCCAAAAACAAGTTCCAGGAAATAAGGGAAGAGTAAATTGCCAGTTGTTCTCCGTTCCTACCCCTAAAAAACCCTTTGGAGCTTAATCCCCAACTCAGAGAAGCAGCCACTTTTTTTTTTGGCTTCAGGAAGACTTGATTTGTCTTCCAGTAGCCTGCTACAAACTGATCATTATAATGTGACTGAAAAGGTCTGCAAGGTGACTGAGGAATTCCATACAGCTCTACCAGGATCACTTCTTATTCCAGGGGTAAAACATTTGATTGATGACATCAGAGTTATGCTGGAAACTTTGCACAGGAAGGAAAGTGACACATTTTCTTACATATAAACTGTCCCTGAAAATAACATGGCCTGCTTTTTTAAAAAGATACTGTGAAGAAAAATTGTTCCTACTTTGCGTAAATATCTGAGTAGTGGGGCTGCCTGGTTTCCCAGCTGCCACATGCTGCATGGTGCCTGTGGTCCAATCCAGCATGGTGGGTTTGGAGCAGCACAATAGGCCGTGACCACCTGAGACCGCACAGAATTTGGGAATGCTTGCTACGTCTGACCCACCACGGGCCCCGGAACTAGTATACAGTCATGGACGCAGCATGCCAGGTCCAGGGTTGTGACGCAGCAGTAGACTGACTCATGCACTGGCCTGGTCCAGTCTGTGGGTTGGGGGCACAGAGGATCCCCACAACTACAGACATTTGGGGCTGGCAGTGGGAGGAGGAAGCAGTAGCAATATTAATTGCTTTGGCTCTCAGATCTTAATAATTAATGCTGCCACCACTCTGCCCTCCCCTCCCCCAACAAATTTCTGGACCTTGTGGGGATCCTTTTTTCTTGCATATTTTACCCAGCTGGGGGCGGTGGGGGAAGGTGTGGGTTATATGTGAGAAAATGTGGTAGCCATTTTAAGTTATGGAAAAAATGTGAATAGGAGAAAAATATTGCTATCTTCTCTTGTTTGTTATTTTTTCTTTAAATAACAATTGGGTCCAAATATCAGTTTCCTGATTGTGGCTATGTAATGAGAAATCTTGTGGAATGATCTACATCATGATACATTTGCTAACCTAACATAACCTAGTTTTGCATTTAATCTGTATTCATATTATCAGTAATTTAAACATTTGCTTTGAATTTTATCTCTGACCCTTTTACAAAGAAAATATGATACTCAGTTGCACGTTTTAATAGAAACATCTTGGAAAATTAACGAAACGCTAGAATGTTTCTTTTACTTACAAAGGAAACTACTTGTACAACAGGTTCATGAAGTATTTAGACAGGTTACCTGATATTCAAAGATAAAAGAAAAACACGCATTGGTCAAAATGTTATTAACATTTACCCGTATAATTTCCATGACATCTTTGCCAAAGTTGCACAGAAGGTAGTGGAGCTTCTTTTTGGTCACTTTGGGAGAAGAGAAATTGCTATCAAAAAATAAATTGTACCAAATATGGTGTGTCTGTTTGTTTGGAGACAAAATAGAGCAGAAGTTATGTCTAATTCACTGTAAACGTCTCCCTTTTTAAAAATCTCTTTTCCCCAATGTACTAATCTCTAATAAGTAATCCATTGGTGCTGATGTATAATCAAAACAGCATACATTTTACTGTGGCCTTGATACAGTTTCACAATATCTACAGGAATACAGGGATAGTATCCCTTTGCAAACCATATATTAGTAGAGCTATTTCTATTACTGTATCGGTCTGTTCATACCATTAGTCAAGATTTCCTAGTGTCTAATCACAACATTCTCAAGTGATCTCTTCATTTGTGGTGCTATAGATTTTTAAAATTTTAACTTTGTGATTTCCATTTTCAAGGCTAATATTGGGAGAACTTTTCAGAAAATGTCAGCTTTTTCTTATAATTATTTGATGGTACAATAGTGATGATTTTTAAAACTCTACATTCATATTTACCTGACTTGGAAGTTGGAAAAGGATATCATGTCAAATAAAATGCTGATAAACATTTAAAGAAAAATCTAACCTAGATAGCTATTTGCTGAGAAGAAGGAATTCTTGTGGAACCCTTTAGAGGTGGTTTCTTTTACAGATGATTTCGGACTTTTAATAGGGTGATTTAGAGTACAACATTTGATAATGTGACTAGAGGGAGAAGGCATGGGCATTAGGTTGGAACTTTGCAAACGAAGAGAGGAAAAGTAATGGTAGCTTGAATGGAAATAGGTTAGTTGAGAGGAACAACTGGGAACCACGAAAGAGGAAGAAGAGGCCAAAGAGGAGGAAGTGATGAAATGGGACAATATATGGACTGTGGAGATGAGGGCTCCATATGCTTGAGGAGAGAAAGTGTAAGTGAAAAGAAATGACCAGTGGATAGAATTTCACTATATGTTTTATAAAATTATCTGATTTCATTGTGGGCCAGTAAAAAGGTCCTTTTCGATAGAAGAGGTTTGCTCTAACACCCCAGTGCAGCAAGATATAATAGGTAGATGAAAGAGGCAGCATGTCTGAAAATATCAGGCCTAAAATGCTGACACTTGACACAGTGATGCCCAAACATCTGGCCTCATGGGCCAGATGAATGGCATGGGGTTTGGTCTGTGGGACAGATCTTGTACAGGGTCAGCACATGGGGTCCATCCATGGACCAGAAGAACCCCATGCACTGCATCTGGCTGTGTGCTGGCCCAATCTAGCACACAGGGTCATATTATCTCCTGCTGGACTCCCCATGGGTCCAGAAATTTGGCAGCAGGGGGCAGGCATTAATTCTGCCACCACACCCCTGTTGTCAAATTTCCAGAACTGCGGGGAGCCCATGGACCAGATGGCATGGCTCTACAGGCTGGAAAGGGCCTGCAAGCCACACAACACAACAGGATGTTCCATTGTCTTCTTTTGAACACTGGTTGTAGACTTCAGACATATGGTTTCTATTGGCTTAGCTTACAAAAGAATTCTTTCTTCAATTTAAAGCTACTCTTTGAACCCTAAAAATGTATTACACGTGTTTATAAGGACTGAAGTGAAGGAAACGGGGCAGTGTAGCTTCTATTGCCTTTACTATTTGAATGATTATCCAGATCACTTTAAAACTGGCTGTGGCCTGCCTAGCCTATATATCTTTATTACTGGTTAGCATTTTGTTTTTCCCTCACTTTTCTGAGCCTCCTGATATTCCCTGGTGGGCATAATTCTGGAGAGCTTGAGTACATAACTGTTTTGAGACTGGAGCTATGTTGTCCTACCACCGCTCATTTACGATTTTTGTCAGCAGCTCTTTAAAATATCTGCTCCAGTTCTTCTTACTCTTTGAAGTTTCAGCCTGTATTTGCAGTGGCCTCATTAGAAAATTCTGAATTAGCAACCACAGGCCTCATTTGTATGTGTTTACTCTGGCCAGATCCTGGCTTGGAATACCTTACTGTGGAGGACAGTTTCTGTTACATTGAAGTTGCATTTTTATAAAACAGATCAAACATAGGTTGTGCCACCTCCTCTTCTCTCCAGCTCCCCTAAACCCCCATATTACACAAGGAACATGATGCTATAGTTGTTTCAGCCCAGAAGATCTTTCCTCCCTTTCCAGTTGTATTCAACCTTCTCTTCTGGCTGGGGGGTTGCCATGCTCGTGTTTCAATTTGGAATGAGATGGAAAAATACATTGGGTTTGATGGGGGGTGGGGATTTTCATAGATTCATAGATGTTAGGGTCGGAAGGGACCTCAATAGATCATCGAGTCCGACCCCCTGCATAGGCAGGAAAGAGGGCTGGGTCTAGATGACCCCAGCTAGATGCATATCCAACCTCCTCTTGAACACCCCCAGGGTAGGGGAGAGCACCACCTCCCTTGGGAGCCCGTTCCAGACCTTGGCCACTCGAACTGTGAAGAAGTTCTTCCTAATGTCCAATCTAAATCTGCTCTCTGCTAACTTGTGGCCATTATTTCTTGTAACCCCCGGGGGGCGCCTTGGTGAATAAAACCTCACCAATTCCCTTCTGTGCCCCCGTGATGAACTTATAGGCAGCCACAAGGTCGCCTCTCAACCTTCTCTTGCGGAGGCTGAAAAGGTCCAGGTTCTCTAGTCTCTCCTCATAGGGCTTGGTCTGCAGGCCCTT